CAGGCCCCCCCCCCCCACCCGCCTGGGCTGCAGCATCGCTGCCCCGTCCTCGGCTCCGTTAACCAAAACACGACGGGCAGCGAGTTTCTGGGGCAGCAGATGATGGCACGGGGCTGACACCATCCCACCTACCACCAGCCCCTCCAGCAGGAGAGGACCTCTCTGCTGCTCAGAGACCAATTTTCCCCTTGCTGGAAAAAAATGCCAGGCTTCTTGTAGGACCTACCGAGACTTCTATTATTCCCAAAGGAAGAAAGTTTAGGGTAATTAAGTTTTTTTGCTGTTTGATTTTTTTTTATATATTTTTTTATATATATACATATACACACACACACAAATACACGCCAAAACATCTGCAGAATTACATGTTTACAGGATTGATCACAGGGCAGCCAGACGTCATGTTTGCATTTGCTGGCTTATCTTTTTGTAGCAGGAGGAGAAAGATAAAACTCCCCAGGAAGGAGGCTGAAAAGACAAGTGACTCGCCTTCCCGAAACATTCATTTTTCTCAAAGTCAGAGAAACCAAAAGGGCAGATGTCAATCGTGCACACAGGGAGAATTCTGCTTTTAACGAGGTTATTAAAAAAAAAAAAAAGGGGGGGGTGTTTTTTGTTTCATCTGTACAGGAATATAATACACATATGCACAAGCTCACACAGGCAGGGCACCGCCGAGACCGTCTCTCCCCCGGTCGGATACGGAGCAAGCGCGGTCCCGGCCCCCTCCCGCCGTCGGTGCCGCTCCAAGCACGTGCTTTGGCTGCACGAGGCTGAAGCGCTAGGCACTGTGGTTCGCCTTTTCCCCAAAGGAAAAACAGACCAAACCCCCCCAAAAAAACCACACACACACAAAAAAAATCATCCTTTCTCCCCAAACGTCTCTGCTCCCATCTGTAGGGATGTTGTTTCCTACCCAGGAGGTCGGGGAAAGCCATGGGAAGGATGAAACCAAAGGGCTGCCCATCTCCAATCCCCCAGCCCAGCGCTGCAGGAGGGCTTGGCTGCCTTCACCTCCTGCCTCCAGCTCAGCCGTGCAGGCAAAGAGCACGAGATGGCCATGGAGAAGATGCTGCACATCGGAGTGGGGGGGAAAAAAAAAAAAAAACAACCCAAAATCCTTAAAAAAAAAAAAATTTCAAAATCCACAGACTTTTGCACAAAGCAATAGTGGTTAATTGCCATTTTTAACCACTGTCTCACAGCCCGGGACAGGCTGCCAAGAAGGGATCTCGCGTATCAAACCACTGGGAGTTGGCTGATGGAGTCTAAGTCAGGACCTCGTCCCATTTTTACACACACACACACACGCACACACGCCCCCACCTTGAATGCCCTAACTACTATTTTTTTGTAGTCCCAGCTTTCCAGCATGCAAAATCAAATCTCAAAAAAAAAAAAAAAAAAAAATTTTGCCTGTGTTCAGGCTTCCCCTGTTAAGGGGCATGACTTGAAAAAAAATAAAACAGTTACGCTCCTGCCACAAATAAAGTGCAAAAACCAAGCGGTTTCTAGGTATACACGCACACGTGTGCATGTATATATATTAAAAAAAACAAAACACAAAGTAACACAGATAAAACTGTCCCTTCTTGTGGTTTTTTTGCAGCCACACAGGGACTCCTGCATCCCGGCCAGACCTCCGGCCACCGCCACAGGACCTGTGTGTCTGCAAAACGCACCTAGCTCAGCCTGTTCACCTGCTAAGTCCTGCGATGACGCAGGGATTCAACCCCCCCCCCCCCTCAAAATCTCCGCTTTCCTCCAAGGACGAGGAAAGGGGAGATGAAGTAACCAGCACAGCACCTCAACTGGTGCTCAGTCTCCCCAAAAAATCAACACACACCTGAACTCAAGAGCGTCCCCGGGTGCTCCCCAAGATGGAAGCACCACCCGAGCCACCGTCGGTGTGGCTCCCCCTACGCTACAGGCAGCTCACGACCAGTTTTAGAAGCAGATCTACATTCCCTGCAAACCCTTTTAAGGTGTATCGATTCAAAAAA